TGAATTATTAATTTAATATTTTAATTTAATATGATATTAATTGATAATTTAATAGTATTTTAATAAAATATTATAATTTTATTTATATAAAATATATGTGTATGTGTTTTATGCATATACATATGTATATTACACATATATATGTATTTTATACATAAAATATATATATTTTATACATATACATATAGATGTATATATACACATACACTCTTGCTTCATTGGACTCCACAGATAGATAGATTCCAGGAGGCTGACATGGTAAGAAATCTTATTTTCTGCTGGCTGTATGTAAATACATATATATATTAAATATAACCGATTTAAAGGATCTGCTATGTGACCGTTTATAAGTAAGATCTAGTAATAGCAACTGAAACCAATAAACTTTTTAGTCTTTTAACAAAAGCCACAAGAAGTGCCCAGAGAGGACCTACATGATGCAACCCCCACGATCCAAAAGTTTACTTTTGAAATTAGTCCAAGAAAGCAAAGACTTTCATTGCATAGGTAGTAAGGCTGGTGTGTGTCTCTGGTCTCCGGTGGAAACATGAGACGTCTCCAGTCACAGGCCCATTAATCTGTGACATCAGGCTGGAGCTATTGAGGTGAAACTTTCCAGGACAAACAAACAGTGAAGGTTGAGATGACAAAGGTTCCTTTGGGTTTGTATCTCTCACGAAACACTTCCCGAAAAGCTGGCAAGGCAGGACAGAGAGACTCAAAACCCCAACCAATCCATTCAACAGGCCATCAAAGTGCACCCTGGTAAGAGCACCCTTGGAATGGTGGAGACCAAAGAGAATATTCTCACTGGTCAAAAAACCAAATTCTTAGGACATAGAACAGGATGAAAGAAAAACTCATATCTGGAATACGCACATTAACAGCTTGATCTAAGACCTGGGTCTCTTGGAGCCACACTAATATCTAGAAGAGATGGGGCTGGGGACTGTTTTAAAGCGTAACTGATGGCATGGAAGTTTTCCTGAAGGTGGTGGATGGCCTAGTGTCCATGGAACCCATCTGTGACCAACTTATCCTATCATGGGAATCCCTGAGTTCAGTGGCACTTGCTCTAACAGCTCGATCCTGCCCACCGATTCTGCAGCCTTGGCTTCCATGGTGTCCATTGGCAACAGCCTTTACCTCACATGCATATTCCAGTCTGTTTGACAAACGACATGAAAGACTCAGACAAAAGGAAACAAAGATGATCTCTGGGCGGAAAGGGATCAGTAACCAAAGAGTTGCTAAGCCCAGGGAGGGACTTCCACCCATATGTCCTCCTGCTAATCTAAATGTAGGAAGAGACAAAAAGGATCCTCACCACTCTTGCTCCCTGGGACTCCGCAGATAGATTCTGGGAGTCTGACATGGTAAGAAATCTCACCCTCTGCCGGCTGACCGTCAGATTTCCCAGGACCTCTCAGCTGCAGCCTATGTCCAGGGCAAGCGGTGTCTGGTGAGCCCAAGTATCCTTCCCATCATGCCACCTGTCCCAGAGCAAGAATTCCTGTCTCCTTCAAATGCTCTTCTACCTGGATTGACAGATTAACAGGAGATAATACAATTCAATTGTGTATGTACAGGCAATCCACACCGACAGAGAAATTACAAAGACTATCAGGCAAAATGAGGTACATGTGGCATCCTGAGCCAAGGAGAAGGCGGTAGGGGTCTGAGACTTCAGAGGAAAGTCTTAAAAGATGGACACGGGCCCCAAATGGTGTTACTTACCTGGAGTCCCCAAACTGGTGCTCAAAACATAATATAATTGCAGCTATAGTATATTTCAGAAATGTAGAATTTTTCCATCTGTACCACTGAAGATGTCACCTGGGTCCTCGCTCTCTCCCAAAGAAAGATGAGGTGATAGACATGAGACATCTTGGTTCCCTCCCCCCAACCCCCCAGAAACCACCCTCACGTGGAACAATTGGTTCTTTCGCTAATGATAACCTTCTTGCCCTCCCCCCTGCCCCGCTCCACCGTTTTTCTATAAAAACCTTCCATTTTGAACATTTCTCGGACAGCCTCTCTGCTTATTAGATTGGGTGCTGCTTGATTCATGAATTATTTAATAAAGTCAGTTAGATCTTCAAATTTACTTGGTTTAAGTTTGTTTTTTAACAGAAGAAATGCAATTCGCAGGACAAGAAGAAGGGCAGATATTTCATAACTATGTGTCCATCCTGCCATACAGATGGGTCACTCAGATACAATTTATCTCTGTTGGTGACCCTTATTCTGAAAAAAAGACTCTCAGTTTAGATTCTTCTATGTAGTTAAGGGAAGGGGAAAATTTCTCTTGAGCTTGTAGGGTCTCAACTGCCTTAGGCTTGAAACAGCCTGCATACCAGGGGCACCGGGCTGGCTCAGTCAGCAAAGCATGAGACTCTTTTTTTTTTTTTAATTAATTAATTAATTTATTTTTTCTTTTTCTTTTTTTTTTTTAAGTGTGTTTCTTTTTTTTTTTAATTTTTTGTTTATTTATGATAGTCACACACACAGAGAGAGGCAGAGACACAGGCAGAGGGAGAAGCAGGCTCCATGCACCGGGAGCCCGACGTGGGATTCGATCCCGGGTCTCCAGGATCGCGCCCCGGGCCAAAGGCGGGCGCCAAACCGCTGCGCCACCCAGGGATCCCTAATTTATTTTTTCAAAAGCATGAGACTCTTAAGCTCAGGGTTGTGAGTTTGAGCTCATGTTGGGGGTGGAGTTTACTGAAAAAAATGAATAAAATAAAAATTTAAAAGAAAACCACTTTACAATGGGGGTCATCTGGAGCTGGCCTGCCCCTGGTAGCTACCAGGGTAATACAGTGCTGCTAAGAATCCTGCATAGACTCCTTGTGACTGTATTCCTATGCGACTTGGTCAAGGAACAGCAGTAGCAACAATGGGTAGGGGGTTGCAGAAACAGAGTGACCCCCTTTTGGGATCCTCCCTGGCTGGCGGGCACCCACTGTCTCCCTAAACATCTGTATCCTTTGTAGTAGTATCTTCTGGGCCAAACAAAAGCTGGCAAAGATGGAGTGAAGAGGTCTTCTTTTGGACTCCAAGCGAATAGGGAACAATTAGAAAACAGAACAATAAAATATACTTGCAACTGCAAATAGAAGTGTTGGACGGAAGGGGAACCAGTGCACAAAGTTACCAGACATAAAGAGCAGTGATGGGGGCATTTTGAATTTTGGAGAGAGAGAGAGAGTGAACACAATTTGACAGGGTCGCTCATCCTCCACTTCCTCTCATATCTCTCTCCAGGTAAACTTTTCTCATTTTTCATCATCAGAGAGCAGTTTCCTCTCCTTATCTTTTCCTACGAAAAGTCTAAAGTAGAGGACACCACAGTGCACCCTAGACTGAGGCACCGCAAGGATCTACTGCTGGTCAAAAGAAGATAGGTTGAGATATGATAAACATTCTTTTTAACAAGTCAGAGAATTATCACATCCTCATAGAAAAATATCAAAAGGTATGGAAGGTCATAATTCAAAACGTAAAAGTCTTGGTCTCTCCAGCCACCGGTTCGAATTAGAGACAATAGGCATATCGAGACGTCCTGTGCATCTCCCCAAAGGTCATGCTTACAGCAATGTGTGTGTGTCTTCTTAGCATCCATATAGCATTTTATCCTATGAAACCATTAAAAACCATTTAAAAAAAACATTAAAAAATCAAGGATAATTACATTCATGTGCCATTTGCTTATTTAATAACAAATTTTTCTGTACCGTTACGCATCTATCTTTACAGAGCTGCATAGAGCAACAGGCTATTTTGATGGTTAAAAATTAATAGTTAATACTATATAACGGTTTAGCCTTTCATACATTGTACAAAGCGTTCCATTGTACGGATCTAATTTATTCGATCATTTTGTCATTGCCAAAATCAGTGTTTTTAGAAGTTATACGTTGTTTTATTTTCTAGACCATTATTTCTTTAACAATTAGGCCTCAGTACAGTTTTCTGGCTTTGACGTTTTCTCTGCCAATTGTTGTCACAGTAAACTATTCATATTACAGAAGAGAATCCGGGCTTCTCCGCCCACTTGAGACTTAGAAGCAACGCTTGCGTTTCCTTCCTCACTTTCGACCTAACCTTCGTTAATCATGTCCCTCAGGGCAGAGTCTTAATCCACAGAAAGTTCCAGTTCCCCTCACCTTCTCCAGGTGGTGGGGCTCAGAGCACTAACTCAAGTGCCTGGAGGATGCAGGCTGGGAGGCAGGTTAGTTAAAAGGTTGCTCATTTTGAGCTGGGCGCCTCCCAGGTGGGCTGTTACCTCGGGGAAGCGGGGTGCAAGCCCCCCCTGGAGTCACGGCTCGCGGCTATGGGGCGGGGTCAGGCGAGCAGGCTCCAGCTGGACCTTGCAGGGAAGTGTAGCGACGGGGACAGTCGGGGTGGGCCGGAGGCTCGGTAGCCACCGATTCAGGGGCCTCCCTCGCGCAGCCACGAACTGCGGGGCCTAAGTGTGAAGCTCGGAACTACTGGCTTGCAGTTTCCCGGAGCTGTTGAGGGTCAAGCCACGGAGGAAGGCGACGAGGAGCAGGAGGATGCGGGCCACGAGGGCGTGCGCCTTTTTAGGACTTGTCCGGTTGCAACACGCGCGCACACATATGCACACACGCACATGCACACACGCACATGCACACGCGCGCGCACACTCCTCGTAGCTTCGGCTCCCCCTGCAGCCAGCCCCCCGGGCCGCAGTGCATTCGGTTAGGGCCGCGACAGCTGCGGTCTCCCTCCCGCGGACCGCGGCTCGGGGTGCACCCCGCCCCGGCCTCAGGTGCAAGCCCGGCCCCGGGGCGGGGGCGCGGGCGGGGGCGGGGAGGCCCGGAGCGCCGCGGCGCCGCGAGCCCCCGAATTCCCCGGTTCAAAATCCCGAGGCCGCGACCAGCCTCCGGCGGCGCGAGCCTTCATTGGCTGAGCCGAGGTGGCAATCAGGGGCCGGGCCGCCGCGCCGCTCCCCGCCCCCGCCCCCCGGCCCCAGGCGCTGTCGCCGCCGCCGCCGCAGCCGCCGCCCGGTCCCTCGGCCGCGCTCGCGTGGGGGCCACGCACCATGGTGAGCCCCCGCCCGAGGCCCCGGCCGCGCCGCCGAGCCGGCCTGCCCGAGTCCCGGCGGGCCGGGGGGCGCGGGGGGCGCCGCGGGGCCGATCGGTGCCTCCGCGCCCCGGTGGGGGGGGGGGTCCGCGCCCTGCACCGACCCGCGAGCGCCCGGGCTCGGGGAGGGGACGTGCGGCGGGGGCGCGCGGGCTTGACCCCGGGGGATGTGGGAGGCGAGGGGGGCCCGGGGGCGCGGGGGTGCGGGGGGTGCGGGGTCGCCCCACTTTCCCGGGCGCCGGGCCTGCCTCGGAGCGGCGACAGGTGAGCGGAGGGGAAGGCGGCGGCCCGGCGAGGGGGCGGACGGCGACCGGGAGGGTCTGTCCTTTACCGGGGGGGGGGGGCGCCCCCGAGGCCCCTCTGGACGGAGCGGAGCCAGGGGGCAGGGGCGGCTGATGCTGCAGCCCGCCGGCCCCTGACGCCCGGGTGTCCCCTGTCCCTGCAGTACGGATTTGTGAATCACGCGCTGGAGCTGCTGGTGATCCGCAACTACGGCCCCGAGGTGTGGGAAGACATCAAGTAAGTGCGCGCGCGCGTGTGTGTGTGTGTGCATGTGCGTGTGTGCATGTGAGTGCGCGTGTGTGTGCGTGTGTGTGTGTGTGCATGTGCGTGTGTGCGCGCGTGTGTGTGCATGTGAGTGCGTGTGTGTGTGTGCACGCGGGGGTGGGGGGGTCCCGGGGCGGCCCCGGCGCTGCCCCCCGCGCCGCGCCGCTTCCCCCGCTTCCTGCCGGGGCGCCCTGCCCGGGCGCGCATCCCCGGAGATGCCTCCCCCCGCCGCTCCCCGCAGCTGCGCTCCCACGCTCCGGAGCGGGCCCGGGGGGCGGGGGGGGCGGGCCGGGGCGGGGCCGCCGGGGCGAACGGCAGGGGCAGGATCCCCGGGGGTCACGGCGGCCTGGCGCCCCGGCCCGGGCGTGGGAACGCTCTGCCCGCCCGGGCGGCTCCCACGCGGAGGGGCCGGGGGGACCGCTAAGGCCTCCGCGACGTTCAAAGAGCCGCAGCCCCAGAGACCAGCAGGAAGCCTCGGCTCCTCGGTCAGCCACGCACCTCGGGACGCAGAAAATAGTGGAGCCTGGAGCCGGTCCGTGTGCCCAGGCTCACTGCTCGGGAGGGGAGTCCTTGAGCATCTGGATCAAGTGCATTTACTCATGTGAAATAGTAAAATGGGAATGTTTATTATCTTTTTTTTTCCCTTTCGTTTTCTCAAAACCTATCCCCTCCCCCCCTTTTTTTTGGCTTCCCCTGGGGCGAAGGCTGCCTCGCAGGGGAGCATCCTAGCTCCAACCCCGCGCTGGGGCCACGTCCTTTGCACGCAGGGGGAGATAAGCACAGTCATTTGAGACCTTAAGGCCGCTGCACTGATGGATGGGTCCTCTCTGCCGGCGCGTTGAACATTTCGATGGAACAAAATTCCCTTTTTCTTCCCTGTTACTATGCTGAAATTTGCATTTAACGTGAGCACAACCAGCTAGCTACACCAGAACGACGTATATGGGTTTTCAGGCTGGAACAACAAGCTGTCACACTGAAATGGGGGTAGAGGGAGTTAGAGGGATGACCTGGGTGGGCAGAGGAGAGCACACTGGTATTTTTTACTTTCATTTCCTGACCTCACCGATTCCATTTTGTTGTAACAAGTGGGTGATGTTTTCATGCTATTTTTTCCCCCAGATATATTGCAGTTATTAGCAATCAATTCTAACTGGTCTTATTCTGCAGTTCCAGGATAATGATTTCTTTTAAACATCTGTTTCCATGGAGATGGCCTGGGTTAAATATTAAGCACTAGGATGTGACTTTTCCCTTCCTAGGGTCGGTATGGTTGAGCATGATTTCATGTTCCAGGAGCGATTTATGCTACCCACAGGGCATATCTACATATTATACAGGGAAGAAGGGATTTGGAAATTATGGATTGAATCAAATGAGTGTTGAGGCGCTAAAACTTACTTTAGGACATGAATCTGTTAATACCTTCATAATTTGTATTTTGCTTGTTAGAGTTACAGAGAAGGCGGGCATCAAAAGCACGATTTTAGACAGTGTAATTTAAGTATAGGATTATTCTTAAGCCACTTTGAGAATTTATAAAAGCATCATGCATACCCCCCACATGTTTTCTCATCTGTAATGTAGAAATCCTCAAATTTCTGGGTGAATATGCTATGACAATATGTTTAAAATTTTGAGAGCACAACAAAAGATACCTATGATGGCTAAATACATGTTTTGACCAGATGTAGAGTGTATGTCCTGCGCATTACCATCTTAAACCAGTTAAATAGAAAGATGAAAAATTATGCTTTACAGAGAAATGTATCAGAAATCTTCAAAAATTAAATCATCAAGTGATCTGTTTGTATTGGCCATATTTTCCCCAGAGAAGGTCAGACTATACAAAAATATTCAAATTCCAGTGGTATGAGAACTTAATTCTGTTGAAGTAAGCTAAGAATATTGTTACATTTTTAAAAACAATATATTAATTTTTAATTAAACACCAATATCTTTTAACTCATTAATTTTATCTTTAAGTATTTCTGAACAGTGTTCTTTTTTTTTTCTGAACAGTGTTCTTAATCAAGTGTTAATAAATCATTCAAAATCATTTTTTTCTGATAAAGGAAACAAATCATATGGGTCTTTTTTAAAGGTACCCCTGAAACAATTATGTAGCCCTGCAGAAGGAATACCGTTAGTTAAACTAGTGTTGTAATGTAGGTGTTAACTTTGATCCTTTTTTTGTCTGAGCATCCTTTTTGGCGGAGCCCGTATTGTCTTGGGCACCACTTAGTATCTGGAATAGAGGACACTGTTCAGTTTTCTGTGTTGAGAGGGATGAATGCAATTCATTAGTTTCCAAACCCAGTCAGAACCCTTGAGGGGTTACTTCGCACTCCCTGGAGGATCATTTGCTTAGCACAGCCAAGCAGTTCTCACTGGCTATGGGAAGGAGAGGAGAATTTGGAGGAGCTTCATTTTAAAATGTTCCTTGGAAGATTCTGATACCTCCTCTCGACTTCATCCTCTGCTCCAGGGAAAGTCACTGCAACCGATGGTTCAACATACAGTATACTTTCTGTTTTAACTTTTTATGAAAAAACAAATGTGTGATTTGGGGGGGGGGAGTGCAGGGGCAAGGGTGCAGAAGTTTTAGTGAGTATCAAACATCTGTGAGAAACTATATAAATTGATGTTTATAAAACTTTATATAATGCTTTTTTCGGTTTAGTAGGAAATGGCCATCCATTCTTCCTGAGAAAGGATGCCAAACATTTAATGACAAATAAAACCGTAAGTAACAGATTCCAGACAGAAAATTCTAAGTGGTAGGAGCCAAAAATGCTTCATTGTAAACTTTGTATCCACTTACACTCTTACCAATCATATAACCATTTCACACAAGCCTTAAATTCCTCTTTTTAAGAAAAAAAAATCGTCTAGACTGAGGCTCTGCAAACATTCTCTTAAAGGGCTAGATAGTAAATAATCCAGGTGCTGCAGGCAGAAAGTCAATAGTGAGGATATTGTGGAGAATCACTCATAACTTAAAACGTAACTATCTAAAATGAAAATGATTCTTTGCTCTCAGACCAAACAATCCTGCCAGTGGGCTGGATCTAACCCATGGGCTGTAGTTTGCTAACACCTCTGATCTAGGCCATAAATACATATGAACAAGCAAAAGAGACCTCTGAATCTACTTTAAATCTTGGTTTTGTTGGCTTCTTTTCAATTTTCAGATAGTACAGTCCTTTCTTGGGATCATCACCGTGGTCCCAAGGTGATGATCAAAATCAATCATCATTTTAGAGAAAGCATGAAGTCAGGATCTACATATTAGAAAAGCACCTAACTGCTACTTAATCATCTCTATTATTCTTCTATCATCCTTGGTGAAACTAATCATTGCATCAAAATAATGGGTTTAATTTTAGATTGGTTTAACTTCACTAAAACATAAAGATGGATTCAAAAAACTAAAAAAGAAACCTCGATGGTTAAAATTGTATATAAAAAAAGAAACAAAATACTTTTCTAAAACCTAATTATTTTGCCTAGAGTTGAACAGGCCAAGGAATAGATTAAAAATAGATTTAACACTCCCTAGTGCTATACAGTACATGGCTTAGCCCTTCTCTGTCTTACTAAAAGGTATGAGATAAACACTTGGATCAAAATATTAGTATGTGATTTGAAAATGATATAATCACACTGGTAGTTGATACATAACCTTCCTCTAAAAGGTTATTCAATCATCTTCCTTGAATAAAGAATTCATATTTATTTAGTAGGGTAGCATATTTTTTCATTCATTGATTTAGTCCTTTTTTCATACTCTGGTTAAGCTTATGATTATTATTGTTATTATTATATTTTATTTATTTGTTTGACAGAGGGAAAGAGAGTGTGCTAGCACAAGCAGGGGAACATCAGGAGTAGCGAAAAGCCAGACAAGAGAGTTAACGGACTGAGCCACCCAGATGTCCCTAGAAGCTTATTTTTAATGAGCATAGTGTAGTGCTTTAGGCATCGGAGGGTAGAAAAGTAATATATACTCCGCCTTCAAATAAAATCTTATCGTGCTACTGTTACCAGAGTTATCAGGATTTTTTTTAGTCCTATTGTTCTTTGATTTTTCTCCCTGTAGCTCATACATGAAAACATTTCTGCCTGTAACTCAAGCATGGAAATATGCTGATCATCCAGTTTTGAAGTAAATGAATTTGCTAGTCACAAATTAATCGCTCATTAATGGTTCAAAAAGGCGAATGCTTTGCTACAAGCTGGCTGTGTGACTTCCCCAAGTTGCCTAAGCTTTCTAAGCCTCCCTGTGTAAGGAATACATAATACCTATTATGTAGAGTTGTCGTAATACGTTGGAAAATGTCTGAAAATGTTTAACACAGGTTTTTTTAAAGAAACTCTTAATAAATGGTAGCTATTATTAATTTTACCCTAGATCCCATTTTTTTTTTTTTACTTTTCTCTTCCCCAGCTCACCTAAGAGGTACGAAATTCTGCTTTAAGCAGCAGTAGCTCATTCAAGTCTACATAGACTAAATGTCCTCCCATCACTCTACAATAAGTAGTAACTTCCTTTTCATTTTCACCTTTTTTTTTTCTTTGGTCCGTTCTATGCAACTAGTACCAGTTCTTTGAATTTGAAGTGCCCCTTAGATTCTCCTCTTCTTCCGTTCTGGCTCCTAGCACTTTCCTTTGTGCTAATCTGACAACACTGTGGCTGGCTTCTCTGTGTCTGACTTGTTCCTCCCTCTCCATTCTGCAGATTATGGGAAGATTGTTACTCTCCTGATGCTGGTTCTGCTTTGGAATCAATCTTACATTTTTCTAGCTCCCCATCCCCTAATCCCTGTTTATTATTTGAAAATGTAGCATATGCTCCTCATATTCATTTTATCAAAACAAATTAAGACAAAGTAATGCACCATGGTTGGCCATGTTTTCATCAGATTTTCATATTCATGAGGTTATAGAATTAAATTTCTATACTTTTCCAT